CCCAAATTCAGGGATCACAGCTTTGTGTATGCAGGAACAGGGCCTCCAAATTCGTGTTACTTATTAGATTCTGTCTGAAAACCTATTGTACGTCCCCATATCCTTGAGATCTTTGACAGAACTAACCCAGTTGATTTATTAATTTCAACCTGTGTTCAGAGACTGTTCTAAAAGTTTAGCAGTCTCTCGCTGTATATAAATGAAGTATTCTCAGAGGTTGGTTGGCATGACCCAGACAAGAGGGAGGCCATGGTGTATTAGGGACTAAGATCTCTACCTTGTGAGACTCTATCGTTCCCTCTAAGCTTGGTTAGGGGAAAAGAAATGGGAAAGGATGCTGCAGCCTGATGCGTGGAAGACGAACTCTGCTTTCTCAGAAGTATCCGTCCTACAGAGAAGACTGGCCAGGCCTGGCTCCCATGTCCACATCCCCCTCCCAGTCTGTATAGTCAGACTTGTGCATGGATAACTGGTCAGCCCAGGCTCGTTGTCTTCACCTGTAGGTGTCACGTTCCATGGAGAGCCTGGAGAATTTGTGTCCTGCAGTCTGTGGATACTTAGCTGGAGACCTCTTTGTTTAGGTGATGTGGTTGCTCTTCTCTTATTAGAAAGTCAAGGTGGGTTCTAGGCTTTTCCTCCTAGTGTGTTTTGCACACCTCCAACAGGGGTATCTACTCCTTACTTTTCCTTAGTCACAAAGGGAAACTAACCTCATTTGGCTGGTCCCTGTGGAGTGCAGCCATCTCTCAGTTCTTTCCTGGGAAATAAGACTTGTCTACTCTTCATAGGCAATTATTCAGGAGTTGACGGTTTAATGTTTTTTTGATTCTTACATATCATTTACTTTATTGACTGCTTGTTTTATCTGTTGCTGAGAGAGGTATGTTAAATCTATATGAGACTGGATCAGTCACTTTCTCTTTGTAATTCTGCCAGTTTTTGTTTTGAAGAATTCAAAATTCGAAGCTATTCAGAGCTTCAGGATTGTTGTATCTTCCTGGTAAAATTTTCCTTTTTATTATTATGTATTTTTGAAAAAAACTTTATTTGACAGACAGAGACAAAAAGCTCCAGTCAGCTGGTTCTCTCTCTCTTTCTCTCTCTCTCTCTTTTAAGATTACTGACGCTCCCCCTCTTCGTGGAGGAATGACACAGGACCCTGCGCTGTTCTTTTGTCTGCTCGGCCCTTCCCGGGTTTGCTACCGATCCTTCCACCTCCGTGGAAGGGCGGTTCCCCCTGCCACTTTCCCCACTTCCACAGGGGAGCGGCACACCGCCGGCTCTCTCGGGGGCTGCTCAGATGTTATCCGGATGTTCCTGGTGCATGTTGTCTCTCTCCTCCTTTATAGTCCTCTTCCACCAATCCCAACTCTGCTACCCACACGCCGAGTATGCTGCTCTCCTCCAATCAGGAGCAGGATCAGCTCCTGCAGGTTATTGGTCGAACTGGAGGCTGCTGCGTAGAAGCTGTTTCCTCCTCTCCCAGCGCCATATTGTGGGAGAGCAGATGCATAGAATAAGTCTTAATTCCAGTAACTTAGTCTAGTCCAAGTTGCTCCCCACAATTACTTTATTTATTGGACAGGCAGAATGACAGAGAAAGGAAGAGAGACAGAGGAAATCTGCTATCCTCTGCTTCACTCCCTAAATGGCTACAGCAGTCAAGTCCGGGCTAGGCTGAAGCCAGGAGCCAGGAACTCCATCTGGCTCTCCCACATGAGTGGCACGGGTCCAAGCACTTGTGGGTATGGGTCCATACTTCACTGCCTTCCCACACATAGTAACAGGAAGCTGGAAAGGATGCAGAGTATCTGGTACTTAAACCAGGTACTTTGATATGGGCTGCCTGTGTCACAAACAGTGACTTAGACAGCTGCACCACAACACCAGCCCCTGGATTTACTTTTACTTATCTTGTTTTTAACCAGCTTTAAATCTGAGGATTTGTGTCTTTGTCCAATTCTGAATACTTTTTTTAAAACATATATACATATAATTTCGAGGTCTATATTTTATGACTATTAAACTCATTTTCATACTATTTAAGCTTCATTTTTATGCTGAATTATAATTAACATAAATTTATCTGAGCCATGTAATCTCTCCATTAATGCCAACAATTATATGTTTAAGAATCAAGAAGTAGGGCTGGCACCGCAGCTCACTAGGCTAATTCTCTGCCTGCAGCGCCGGCACCCCAGGTTCTAGTCCCGGTTGGGGTGCCGGATTCTGTCCCGGTTGCTCCTTTTCCAGTCCAGCTCTCTGCTATGGCCTGGGAGTGCAGTGGAGGATGACCCAAGTGATTGAGCCCTGCACCCACATGGGAGACCAGGAGGAAGCACCTGGCTCCTGGCTTCGGATCAGTGCAGCACGCTGGCCGTAGCAGCCATTTGCGGGGGTGAACCAATGGAAAAGGAAGACCTCTCTCTCTCTCACTCACTCACTGTCTAACTCTGCCTGTCCAAAAAAAAAAAAAAAAAAAAAAAAAAAAAAAAAAAATCAAGCAGTAAGTGTTAGCTATTATTATCTTTCCTTGAATAATTTAAAGCATATTGATTATGTAGCCTTTCTTGAACTGTTCTGATATCCTGGGTTCTTGAAGATGTTAATCTTTTTGTTGGTCACATCTGCTATTTCTGCCTTAGGGTGGATTGCTTCCTTGTGAAGTCTGTAATCTTTTCATGTTGGCTCATATTTTAGCTAGTTTTGATTTTTATTTGTGTTTATTGAGTATTGTGGAGATTTACTGTGATGATTCTGCTTGAATTATCACTAGTTTGAGATAAATTTTTCAACTGAGGAATTTAGACCTGCTCATAATACAAAACTTCAGTGTTTTGCAGGGCATTTCAAAATATTTTTCTCACATTTTATACACATGCATCCACATTTATATTTACATTTTATTCATTGTTTTACCCATCCACAGGCAAAAGGCTCTGGATTACCTCTATGCAAGATTTTTCAGTATTTAGAATCTTTTATTTTCCATATCTACTGGGTAAATTTTTAGTGAGTAGTCAGTTGTTCAATATTTAGCCTTTCCTTTTGACAGATAGAAAACCCCAAAACTCCCAAAACTTAAGGAAAGACTCCTTATTTTACTTATCCCAAGGATGGTAATGAATTGGCCAAGGAGTCATCATTAAAAACAAAACCAGGGGCTGGCACTGTGGTATAGTGGGTGAGGCCGCCACCTGCAGTACCAGCATCCCATATAGGCATTGGTTCGAGTCCCGGCTGCTCCACTTCTGATCCAGCTCTCTGCTATGGCCTGGAAAAGCAGTAGAAGATGGCCCATGTGCTTGAGCCCCTGTACCCCTGTGAGAGACCTGGAAGAAGCTCCTGGCTTCAGATCAGCTCAGCTCTGGCTGTTGTGGCCATTTGGGGAGTGAACCAGCAGATGGAAGACCTCTCTCTCTCTCTCTCTCTCTCTCTCTCCCCCTGCCTCTGCCTCTGCCTCTGCCTCTCTGTAACTCTGCCTTTCAAATAAATAAATAAATAATTTTTTTATAAAAAGAAAACCAAACCAAACAAACTGCTACAGGCTGAGTACAGTAAGAAAGCAGTTTACTTGGATGTGGCATTTAGCTAAGCGTGATACCCAGAAGCAGTACAAACGGAGTCACACTTCTATTTCATTTAAAGTTCAAACTTTGAAGTAATCTAATTATCACTAATTTTGTAGCTTGCTAAAAAAAATACCTGGTAGCATGATTCATTTAAGAATTTTCTGGAGGGCCAGCACTGTGGCGCAGTGGGTTAATGCCCTGGCCTGAAGTGCCGGCATCCCATATAGTTGCCCGTTCGAGTCCCGGCTGCTCCACTTCCGATCCAGCTCTCTCCTATGGCCTGGGATAGCAGAAGATGGCCCAAGTCCTTGGGTGCCTGCACCCATGTAGGAGACCCAGAAGAAGCTCCTGGCTCCTGGCTTCAGATCAGCGCAGCTCTGTCCATTGTGGCCATCTGGGGAGTGAACCATCGGATGGAAGACCTCTCTCTCTGCCTCTTCTCTCTCTATGTAACTCTGACTTTCAAATAAATAAAAATAAATCTTTAAAAAACAAAGATTTTTTTGGGGGGGTCAATAATTAGATGGGAGTTCCTCAACCTTTGTCAAGGACAGAAAAATGTATTTATATGCCAAGATTTCCATGGATTCATGGACCTCTTGGAGCCCACACCAGTACATTAAGTTAAATCCTTTTGAATTGGGTGGTTTTTGTACAAAACCAAATTCATATTTGAGCATTCTTGTTAAGGCATCTGAGGGGGATTCCAATTAGCAACACCCCTCCTCTCCACCTGGCCTCTCCACAATTTAATACAATTTTTAAAATGAGTAATTTTTTTTTTTTTTAAATCTTGTCCATGACAAAACAGAGGCCAGGTAGGAGGATGTGACTTCATGGGAAGGTAAATTGTTGTCCCAACCAAAACCCAGGGTTAGCCTGATTTATGACTCAGACCCTAACAGTTTGAACCAGGCTGGTGTCTTCTACCTTGAGTTCTGGCCAGCTTCTCAGGCCAAGAAGAGTCCAAGAGAAGACAAATTCTTGACGAGCAGGTTTCCTTCATGGGACCAAAAGGAGTGGGGCCACGACTCAGATAGTTATTCTTCCCTCAGGTCCCCAGGAATAGAGGGAGGACATGGTGGAGGGAGACTTGGGGAAAATTCCTTTCAACAGAAACCAGCAGACAACAAGTTATTTCCTTCTCAGCAGCGCAGCCTACAGATGATGGTTGCTTAAGAGATGTGAGGGTGACTAGGCAGTTTGTCCCATGAAAAATCCTCAACCTGAGTAATGTACCCCCAGATTACCACACTGGCTGTCGGCACAGCCACCTCATCACAAGAGGCATTTGAGAAGGCTGAGTACTTTGAGGGGCTCGTCCTGATGCCACTTTGTCTCCCTGGCAACGCAGCTCCCTTGTCCCTGGGAAGAGAAATTATTTGCGATTCACTGCATACCTTGACTTGATACTCTTTATTCCCACAGGGTTACATGTTAAAGGAGTTTACAACAGGATCCAAGGAGCTGATACAAATCACAGAAAGGTCAAGACTGTCAACCTAGAGCCAGTAATCCTTTTAATGGATGCTAATTGAGGTATTCCATTGCTTTTTTATAATTTAGCATTTGTAATATCTACGCTTATATAATTTCCTGGCATCATATTTTTTTCTCATGATTTTTGGCTTACTTTCCTGTAGATACTGTTTTCATTGTCCTGGTGCTTCAGGGTTGTTCCTAAGTCCCAATCCCTTCTCCTTTGTATTCTTACTCATTTTTCTAGCTTAGTGACTTATTATGACCCTAGAAGTCTGGGAGTGATACTATATGTCTATTAAGAATGTTTTAAGACACAGTGCTCCCATACATGCACCTTTGTGTAGTTGCTAAGGGTCTGAAATCTCATTTCACTTCAACTGGAAGTATTTCCGAGACCAAAACAGCTCACTGCCTGTCAGGGTTCAGGGAATAGAACCAGGGAACCCGGAGCACAGCTCTGAGTCCCTGGGCAGGAGCTCCTACATTTGTGGCTCAGTAGGAAACACTGAGTTGTTAGTATTAAAACTCAAAGGCAACTGAAATGGGTTTTCTTGAATTCCACTTTCATCTTCTAGTTTTGTTTCTGAGAAATATTGTATTTTTCTGAGACTGCTAGCCTGCTCCTAAAAGCAGTACAAGAAGTTATTTATAGGGAAAAATCAGTATTTTGAACCAAAATAGTTTAACCTCTATTTTCTGATTAAGTCTTACCTTATATTTACAGATACGGAAACTGAGGTTTAATCAGAAAGCATAGGATCCTGAGTTTGAGCTCATAACTATTATTTGCGCTCTTCCCCAGGGCCGCCTTATTTTACTCTTGAATAATTTTTTGAGCATTGTCTTTGGTTACCTTCACATCATGAAGTTAGCACTCTCAGGGCAGGTTGTGAGAATTGTACTACACAAGTGCCAGATTTTTATCTGGATAAACTGCAAAGTATTTTCCACCATATTTCAAAATCTGTTTTATTTGTCTTACAAAGTGTTTAAGAATCTGAAGAGGAAGTATAATTTTTGCTTATTTTGTCGATAGTACATATTTGTATTTGCTTGTATTTTTTAAGCCAGAAACCTTTTACATAAAGTATACAAACTTCATGCATTTCATAAATACATCTTTAGGAACATAGTGATTCTTCCCACCATACCTACCCTCCTACCCATGCTTCCACCCTTCTTCCTCCTCCCTCTCCTATTCCCATTCTTATTTTTTACTCAGATCTATTTTCAATTAACTTTATACACGTAAGATTAACTCTATACTAAGTAAAGTGTTTAACAAATAGTATGGGAAAAAAAAAAAAAAGCTGTTTCTCAGCAGTTGAGACAAGGGCTGTTCAAAGTCACTGTATCTCGGGGCTGGCACTGTGGTGCAGCCGGTTAAAGCCCTGGCCTGAAGCGCCAGCATCCCATATGGGTGCTGGTTCGGGAACCTGGCTGCTCCACTTTCGATCTAGCTCTCTGCTATGGCCTGGGAAAGCAGTGGAAGATGGCCCAATCCTTGGGCCCCTGCACCTGCGTGGGAGACCTGGAGGAAGCTCCTGGCTCCTGGCTTCAGGTCAGCGCAGCTCTGGCCAGTTGCAGCCAACTAGGGAGTGAGCCAGTGGCGCAAGACCTCTCTCTCTCTCCTTCTCTCTCTATGTAACTCTGATATTCAAATAAATAAATAAATCTTTAAAAAAAAACGAAATCACTGTATCTCAGAGTGTCAATTTCACTTCTATAGATTACCTTTTAGATACTCTATTAGTTACCAGAGCTCAGGGAGAACATATATTATTTGTCTTTTTGGGACTGGTGTATTTCACTAAGTATGATGTTTTACAGATGCAACCATTTTGTTGTAAATGGCAGGATTTCATTTTTTTTACTGCTATGTAATATTCCATGGTGTACATAGCCCATAATTTCTTTATCCAGTCTTCAGTTGATGGACATTTAGGTTGGTTCCATATTTTAGCTATTGTGAATTGAGCTGCAATAAACATAGGGGTAACAGATAACTCTTTCATATGCTGACTTCATTTCCCGTGGGTAAATTTCCAGGAATGGGATGGCTGGGTCATATGGTAGGTCAATATTCAGATTTCTGAGGTATCTCCAAACTATCTTCCACAATGGCTGTGCCAATTTATAATCCCAGCTTGGTTTCTGTCATTACATTTGTGTAGTCACTAAAAAATGTCTTCATACATAACCAATGACAAATAATGGTCCCTTACATCCTACAATCCTATAATAATTTAAGCATTTTGTTTACTAATTTAGATTTTTGTTTACATTGTCAGTGTAAAGAATTCAGACAATCTGCAACCTATAGAGTAAAATACAAAGGTCTGCTTCCATTACCATTCCAGTGGGACTTGTAGCTATCTCTGGGTGTAGCCACTGAAAGCTGTAAGGTATTTATCATTCAGGCCTTGCCATGTAGGTATTTAGGTGTCTTTGTACACGTATACTCATACATAGCTTACTTATTTTAAAATGTAGTTGGGCATGCTTGTTTAGTCCAGTGGTTAAGGTGCTGGTTAAGATACCCCTGGTCCACATCAGAGTACCTGAGTTCAAAACCTGGCTCCAGCTCCTGCCTCTAACTTCCTGCTAACGCAGACAGTGGGAGGCAGCAGTGATGGCTCATGTGTTTGTATTCCTGCCACCCACATGGGAGGCCTGGATTGACTTTCATGTTCCCAGCTTCATCCTGCCCCGTCAGTCATTGTGGGCATTTGACCATGAGAGCCTTCACTGTGGTAACGCACATTATAAATCTCCAAGATGGCTATCCAGGCAGGATTGGATGTTTAGCAAATGTAGTTTACTCCTTATGTGATGTCACAGCTTCTCCAGGGCAGGTGCCACTTCTCATGGGTTCTGTAGTTCTGAGAGGAGGCTGATACTTTTGATGGCTGTTCTCAGCTGGCTGGACCCAAGGGGTACAATCAGCAGGATACAATTTAACAAGAACAAGAATGTGGCACTTTGGTTTCAAATATCAGCAACACAATTATAAAGTAAGGACTAGTTATTGTTAGGAAAAGAAAGTCTTTACAATTTTATATGAGTACATGCACAATATAAGCTATCAAGTTGATTTGCCTACTTAAAAAGCTAATGAGGGTCCAGCATCGTGGAGTAGTGGGTAAAGCCGCCACCTGCAATGCCTACTTCCTGTGTGGGCTCTAGTTTGTGTCCCATTTGCTGCACTTCTGATCCAGCTCCCTGTTAATGGCCTGGGAAGCAGCAGAAGATGGCCCAAGTGCTTGGACCCCTGCTACTCATGTGGGAGACACAGAAGAAGCTCCTGGCTCCTGGCTTTGGACTGCTCAGCCCTGGCCATTGTAGCCATTTGGGGAGTGAACCAGTGGGTGGAAGATCCATTCATTCTCTCCCCCAACCCTTTCTGTAGCTCTGACTTTCAAATAAGTAATCTTTAAAGCTAATGAGAATTTTAGATATATAACTGGGATTATGATGTCCAGATCAATGTGGGTAATTGTTTCTCTGTACTTATGTTGGTCCAATTTTAATCATTCAGCTTCTCCTAGAAAAGCTCCATTGTTTGACCTAAGGGCAAATAAGGGTATGCATTAGCAGGAAGCTAGAATTAGAAGCAGATCGAGGACTCAAACTTAGGAACTCTGATGTAGGATGTGGGTGTCCCAAGTGGCATCTTAAGCCTGGTGCCAAATGTCCATCCCCAGGAAGCCTTGTTTTCTCAACAACAAACACACCTTAGAAAATTTTGGTATTAACAGAGGGAGCAATACTGTGTTACCATTAAAAAAAATGAAGTACCTCTATTTGAACTGATATGCAAAACCCAGTGAAGAGAGCAGGAGGAACAGGTAGGAATGTAGAGATTACCATACAAAATAAAAACAATAGTGTAAATAGACATTTCGGAGTTTATGAAAGAATTTCCATAAAGATTCATTTAGTCCTCTTAATTCACTGCTGCAGACATTATTTCCTTCATTTTAAAGAGGAAAACACTAACCTTCAGAGGGATTATCAATACCAGAGCTAGATCTTGGGTTTAGTTCTTTTCATGGCAAGTCCAGGTTATTTTAACCGCATTCCGGTTGTGTCTATAACTGTGTTTTCCAGCATTCCTTCCTGAATGCCAAGTACAACTCCATTGTCTGGGTCTTTGCCATTCTACAGAACACTCCACCCATCTCAACAGATCTAATCTGATTCCAGACTGCTCACCTGCCTTACACACTCCACCCGTTTTGTTTTTAGCAAAAATGTTGAAACAATGACAACTGAATCATTGTGTCACCAAACCAGAACAGGCTCACTTCTTAAGGAGAAAAAAAATCAAAATCTCCAGGGGAACTAGTTGTCACAAAGTCATTTATTTGCAGCAAATAAGGAAAGCATGGGGAAGCATTTCCAAAGTGACTACCCAAGCAAGGGGAAGCATGAATTTGCCACATGGCGAGTTCTTGTCATCACATGTAGGAGTGGGTACAAGTTCACACAAATGCTAATCAGAATCATGCCTTTACAATTCATTGCATGTTATGATAATGCATATAAGGCTAAAACTTCCCCTGGAGCAGAGATCTTAGCATTAAAATGAAGTGAAGGGTGACCTTTGGAGATTTTTTGAACCATCTGTGCCAGGTGTTGCCCTTTCAGTAGGGTCTGACCAGATGAGGATGGTTGGTTTGTGTCTCTTGCTGCAAAACCTGAATAACAACAACTCTGGAAAACACCAGGCACTTGGAAGATGGAGGGCCTTGAAGTAGAAGTGGATCCTAGTAAAGGCTGTTGGACTGCATTAACAAGTGACAGCTGTACTAGTTCCCAATTTGCTCTTCTACCCCATCCTCATCTCAGTGGCTCACCCTTCCTACAGGATCTGCTGCTGTTGAATGTCCCAGAACTTGCCCTTCAGTGTACTCTTCCCCTCACTCAACAAAGCCTCACTCTGTTACTTAGTTGGGATGGCTGAGTGTTTTCCCTTAGAATCATGTTAACAAAGGGCTATAGCATTACATGTTCTAGAGTGGTCTTTGGTGTTATCCTCTATTATTCATGGCAAA